TTCTCCCACCACTGAATTTAGTAGCAGGGAAAAAGAAGGGATGAGGGAAGAGGGGAACATGTGGCTATGGCACTCACTCCTGGACTCTGGAGCTGTGTGAAAGCAGAGGCTATAGCTGGCCAGCCAGTGAGCTCAGAGCTCACAGCTGGCAGGAGCTGCACTGACATGCTAGTGAGCTCAGAGAGCTTGCTGAGCCTGTGACACACAGTGGAAGGAGGGCTGTAACTGCACTGCCACATTCTCCCTGGATCTGCCACTGGAAGTGTTGATGAACCAACCACCATGATTTGTCACTCACTATTTTTCTTTCACCATTTGCAATCCATTTAGTCCTTACCATTAATTATAGGCCATTTGCTAATAATTTCTTGCTATGATGAACCAACCACTGCTCAGTATTCACTACTCACTAATAATTATCTGTCACTTCTTAAAAGGAATTTCTATAATCTATACAGTCTCTATTACTACTCAGTATAATGAATGACCCAATCACTCTTTGTAATCCAATCCTATTTATTCACACATCACAATTCATTCTTCTGTACTTACCATTACTGGTAATTGTTTGTCACTTTCTACTCATCAGGAACCAATTAGGAATCTCCAGTCACCATCCACCATTAATTAGGAGGCAACTTCCACTCATTTTTACCTATTATAGTTTATTCCACTCACCAAACCTAAAGCATCATTCACTACCCACTGTTCTTGCCTATCATATTTCTATCCTGTGGTCACCACAATTCCCTGTTCCCTACTCCTAGTCCCCACCCTTTCCTTACTTGACTCACTGGGTGTATCTATACAAGACACTAACTGTGCTGTAGCCTAATAACACTGTGCAATAGCCTTCCAGGCAGAAACTGCGCTAATATGCTACTGCACAGTAGTAGTAGGCTACTGCACAGTAAGCATAACTAAAAACTGGTGCGCCAGCACTATTGTGCAGTAGTGCAAGTTACTGAGCATTGATTTAGTACTTGGGGTTAACCAAGTACTAAACTTAATGTGCTGTAACTACGGCGCATTAATAAACGTGTAGACATGCCTAGTGGTCTTTATAACTGCCCACCATGGCTTTATCACTCTTGGCTGTTTCAGTTGTCTATCCAAGATTGCAGTGGTATTAGGTTTGGCCTGAGACTCCATTTGCTCTGCTGAACAGGCTGTTGGATGCCATTCCTGGGTGATAATTTTCACTCTCCAACAATCACTGATGGCCATGGGCTGTGGTCTCAGAAGCCTGTCAGGGCTCCTTGTGACTTTGCCATTGTCTGCCCTTTAGGGACTTCTGTTCCTCATTCCCCATTCATTGCATGTGATTCACTATTCACTGCTCATTGTTTGCTGATGTTTGCACTCTATAGCACATTATTTAAATTACCCTTGGTGTCTTGTCATTTACAAGTTATTAACACCCTTTCACCAGTCAGTGTATATGGCTTGTTCACAAGTCACTAACCCCCATTGACCAGTCACTAGCTCCTGTTCACCAGTCAGTAGCACCTACCTGTTCATGGCTTGCTGCTCATTCACAGCAAATTACCACTCAACTGCTCTTTGCTTTCCTCCATCCCTTCTCTTCCTTTGACAAGCCCAGTGCAGTTGTGGCATCTAAATCAGGAAGGCACCATAAGGGCCTTCCTGCCTGGCAGGGAGCCAGCATGATCTACATGAGAGCTTACCCCAGGCTACAGCATGCAGACCATTCTTCATGAGCAAGCCCTTGGGTTCAGACAAATCCACACTAGGGGAGGAGTTTGCTAAATCCCAGGGAGGTAAATTCTTAGCAACAATGTTCCAAACATGTCCAGCAGTAAAAGGCCCCAGGGACCAAATGGTTTAGCTGATACACACTTGCACTCCACTGCATGCTTCCCTGGTATGACAGAAAAGAGCTCACCCCCCCCTGCAGTATGGTGCTCTTTGCTGAGCCCCTGTTCCACTCCCCATTCTAAGGCATCACCCAACCTTCCCACCCCACTCCACACCCCATGGCATAAGTCCCCTGTCCCTTTTCCTGCAGCACAGCACCCTCTACTAACCTACCTGGTGCTTCCTGAAACCCTTGCCTGGTCCCACAACACCTCCTCCCTGTAGCTGGGGCATCAGGATTGTTCATACCCACTGGGGACCAGGCTCTTTTTTGCATCTTCCAAAGATGCTTGCTGGGCACAGTTGCCTAGACCTTCCACTTCCCTTCAGGGCCTGTGGTAAAGCAAGGGTCAGGATGGAGACACAGGCCCATCTTGCCCAGCCTCTGGTCTCCATGAGTGGGCAGCCCCTGCAGCCTAAGCAAAAGGGACTAGGGTGTCCCCAGTGGGCAGTGTTGAGGGGATCCCTTCTCATCCCTCACCCCTGATGTTGGGTGACTTATCATTTCCTCCCCTCTCCTGCATCGGCTCACGTGCCTTATGGTTAGGGCCATCCCTGGGGGGAAGGCAGGGGTGGTGAATCAGGGTGACCAACCTGGGTCGTGCATTTTGGGGGGGCCCTGCGCAGTGCCATACAGGCCCTGCCGCCTTCTGCAGGTGGTTGCCACCCCCCTCCCCACTGCTGCCGCTGGCTTCTGTGGGTGGTTGCTATCCCCCTTCCTGCCCCACTGGTGATGCTGCCACTGGCTACTGCGGGCAGTCACCACCCCGACCCTCTGGCCCCACACAGGCTGATATGCCCCGGACTCCGCACACCACTAGGGACAGCTCTGCTTATGGTCACCCTCAGTGGCCCCCTGCCTCATCTAGACAGGGCAAAGCAGAGTCTGGAAATGCCCTGCTCCCCCTGAGGCAGCTCCCAGAAGCCATTGGGAAGGCAGGGTCAGCTGTGGGCAGGAGGACAATTCCTATGCTAGACAAGCAGAGGACAGTGCCCCACTACACAAACGCACGCATATGAACACTCAGGCATGCACATACACAGATTTGCATGCATAGGCTGAATTAGGCTCATGTAGGGTAGTGTCCACACAAGTACATGTGTGTAAATGCAAACACACGAACGTGCATGCAATTTGAATCTACCAGTATGGGGTAGTGTTCATACGCACACTCTCACGCACATGCACACAAACCCAAGAATCTAGCCAGTATAGGGCACTGTTTCCACAAACAAGCACATAGACATGTACATAATCTGAATCTAGCCAGTCTGGACCAGCATCTGCACACACACACACAATAGTAGGGGGGAGTGCCACACACACACTACCAGGGGGTAGTTTGGATCAGCATCTGCACACACACACACTACCAGGGGTACTGCCACACAAACCAGCAGGGGGTGGTGCCACACTGGCACTCATTCTTCCTCCCCAAGTCCAGACTGTATGGAACAGGGTGCCACTGACCCCTCAGCTCCTCCATGTACTCTGTGCTGCTATGAAAACATTCATGCTGCCAGCCCTGCACTGCACAGAGATTTGCCGGTGTCAGAAACAATTCAGGTAAATCCACACGAACTGACACGCAGAAAAAATCACACCACAAAGCAAGTGTGGGAGAGGAACACAGAGTAGGCCAGGCGAAGGGCACCGAGCTTGACCCGCAGGACAGGGACACACAGCGTGTCTGAACAAGAACTAGAGGCTGTTCTGCAAGTCCCTGGAATTGCTGTAACCCTGTTTTTTTGAATAAACTGATGTTTCCTGCTACTGGCCTCCGTATCATTGACAGTGGCACTGAGATACAGACCCATCTGGGGTGGGGCATGTCTGAGGCTGGTGACACAATAGTGTGCGAGTGGAAGCACGGGCTGGAGCTGGCCTGCCTGGGATGCACATAGCCTGGGCACAGGCTCCAATCCCTAAGGTCATAGGGTTGCCAACTCTGACTGAAGCTATTCGAGATTTTTTTTTCCCAACATGATGTCATTAATTGTACTGCTCAACCCATTCACAACATCAATTTCCCCAATTGCTTTCAATAGTCACTGGGAAATCTATGCCGATTTTGGTAGACTCCTGGCCAAGCTGGGAGGGTTGGCAACCCTATAAGGTCACAGGAAACAGCAAAACGCCCACCCTGTGGGCTTACAGCTGGAAGGAAACAATGTAAACCCTGACCTCACTTTCCCCTGCTGTGAGTGTGGATGCCCCCCATCCTCAGCCCTGCTCTTTGGGTATCTTTCCCAGACCCTGGGCTCCAGCCCTGCCCCCTCAGGCCTTCGTGCCTGGCCCCGTGAGATGCACAGGCAGGCAGGGGTGACATCCTCCAAATCAACTCCCCCCCATAGCTGGGGCACCCCAGGGAACAGCCTAAGGACAGGAAAGCTCATAGCTCACACCCCGCGGAGCACCAGTGTTAACAGTGTTAGCCTTAGGCTAACCCTAAGGCTCCCGCCTCCCCTCCCCCTTGCACTGACACTCCAGTTCCCGAGCCCACAACTACAGCAATGGGGGGGGAAGCGCTCCGAATCCTCACCCCTGAATGGCTGCCCGGCCTGTCCATTCTCATGCGTGAAGGAAGTACCTCCCCGCCCCCTTTCCCCTTTCCGCCCCCAAGGGCCTATTCCCCGCCCCTGTGTGGAAACGGCCCTCAAT